CACCCCCCTGAGTCTTCGGGGGGGCACATTCCCTCCCCCCTTCCCCTCTATTAAACCCCCTCCGGGTCACACAGAGGAGTTTTTTTGGGGGGACAGACACAAACCCTGTGCTGACCCCCCCCAAAAGGTGTCACGATGTTCGGCTCCTCCCGGGGGGGGGTCCGGGGGGGCCAGGACCAGTTCAGCTGGGAGGATGTCAAGACGGACAAACAGCGGGAGAACTACCTGGGTAAGGGCTGACCTCTGTGTGTGTGTGTGTCCCCACCCCACCCCAGGACACGATTTTGGGGTGTGGATGGAGGTTTTTGGATGTGAGGAATGGTGGTTATTTATTTTTTTGGGGGGGTGGGTCTTGCCCCCCCTCACAGGGAACTCCCTAATGGCGCCGGTGGGCCGGTGGCAGAAGGGGAAGGACCTGACTTGGTACGCCAAGGGCAAGAAGGAGACAGGTCCCACCTTGTCCCGTGAAGAAGAGCTGGCCGCCGTCCGCCTGGCCGAGCAGGAGGCCATGATGGCAGCCCTGTGAGTCTCCAAACCCTCCTCCACCTCCTTCCCCCCCAAAAAAATATTAGGGGGTGCTAGGCATCACCTCCCCATCTCCTCCTGCCCAACCATGACTTGGTTTTGCTTCTCTAGGGGCTACAAGAACGTGAAGAGGCAGCCCACCGGCCTCAGCAAGGAGGTAAGGGCCACCACGTGCAGATCCATGGAATGGTTTGGGTTGGAAGAGACTTTGGAAGCCCACCCAGTAAGGGGAAGGACCTGACTTGGTACGCCAAGGGCAAGAAGGAGACAGGTCCCACCTTGTCCCGTGAAGAAGAGCTGGCCGCCGTCCGCCTGGCCGAGCAGGAGGCCATGATGGCAGCCCTGTGAGTCTCCAAACCCTCCTCCACCTCCTTCCCCCCCAAAAAAATATTAGGGGGTGCTAGGCATCACCTCCCCATCTCCTCCTGCCCAACCATGACTTGGTTTTGCTTCTCTAGGGGCTACAAGAACGTGAAGAGGCAGCCCACCGGCCTCAGCAAGGAGGTAAGGGCCACCACGTGCAGATCCATGGAATGGTTTGGGTTGGAAGAGACTTTGGAAGCCCACCCAGTCCCACCACCCTGGGCAGGGACACCTCCCACCAGCCCAGCTTGCTCCAAGCCCCCTCCAACCTGGCCTTGAACCCCTCCAGGGATGGGGCAGCCACAGCTTCTCTGGGCCAACCTGGGCCAGGCTCTCACCACCCTCCCACAAAACAAGTTCTTCCCCACATCTCAGCTCCATCTCCCCTCTTTCAGTGTCAAACCCTTCCCCCTCCTCCTAGGGCTCCCCTCCCTCATCCAGAGTCCCTCCCCAGCTTTCCTGGAGCCCCTTTAGGGACTGGGAGGGGCTCCAAGGTCTCCCCGGAGCCTTCTGTTCTCCAGGCTGAACCCCCCCAACTCTCTCAGCCCCCCCCTCCCAGTAGAGGGGCTCCAGTCCTCCCAGTATCTCCGTGGCCTCTTCTGGCCCTGCTCCAACAGCTCCATGTCCTTCTGATGTTGGTGGCCCCAGAGCTGGAGGCAGCTCTTGGTGGGGGGGATCTCCCCAGAGCAGAGCAGACGGGGAGAATCCCCTCCCTCAACCTTCTGGCCACGCTTCTTCTGATGCAGCCCAGGATGGAGGAGGTTTTCTGGGCTACCAGCACACACTGCTGGGCCACGTGGAGCTTTTCACCCCCCAACACTCCCCCAAGTCCTTCTCCTCGGGGCTGGTCTCCATCCCTTCACCCCCCAACCTGGATTTGTGCTCGGGATTGCCCCGACCCACCTGAGGGACCTTGCTCTTGGCCTGGTTGAACTTCCTGAGGTTCACATGAGGTTCACCTCAAGCTTGTCCAGGTCCTTCTGGATGCCATCCCATCCCTCCAATGTGTTGACCCCCCTCTACTTCTTGAAGTGGGGTGGACACAGAGGACACTCTTTCTCCCCGACAGGACCTGGCTGAGGTGTGCAAGCGGGACGGCGCCGAGCGGGACGGGAAGGACGTGGACCGGGTGGTGGGCTTGGGCAGCTCCAGGTACCGGGGGGGACAGTCCTGCACCAAAACACCCCATTTCGGGGGATTTTTTTTTTAATTTTCCCATTTTTATGCTTTTTTTTTTTGGTGGTGGTTTCTCATTTGGTGATGCTTCTCCCCAGCGGCAGCGCCGGCCGGGTGATGCTCTCCAAGGAGGACAAGGAGGCGGCCAAGATGGGGCTCTCCATCTTCACGGTACGGCACCAGCGTGGGGTCACGTCTCCTTCATGAGATTTGACAAAAAAAAGATAAAAATATGGAAAAAAGGCAAAAATCCCTTTAATTAAAAAGCAAAGCTGGTGGTGGTAGCGCAGAGACCTCCAAGAGCCCCCAGTGTCCTGCCTGCGCAGCGTTAATTTGCAGGGTTTTAATTGGGAATCAGCTCTTGCAAGTATTTAGACATTTTTCAAAATGTAATTTCGATGTCAGGTGGGTTTTTTTTTTTCAAAATTTCCTTTTTTTAAAGAGAGAAAGTCCCCCTTTTTCTCGTAATTCGAAGCTACGAGCTCAAAGAGTCACTCTGTATTTTTCTTCCCTTTTCCAACCCCAGCACCAGAAAGTCTCCAGCAGCCCTGAAACGTCCAGCTCCAAGAAGAAGCAGGAGAAGGAGGAGAAGGTGGAGGAGAAACGGTGAGGATGGGGACCACCCCTTTGGTGGGAAACCACCAGAAATGAACTTTTTTGGGGGGACACAGTATTTTGCTAAAGGCTTCTCTGGCTGAGAAGCTTCTCCTTCATCTTCTCGAATTGAGCTTCTTCTGCATCTGCTCAAATCAGCCCTAAAAACCTCCGCTTTGCCTCCAAAATCTTGGGTTTTTTTTTTATTGGTGGAGGCTTCTCCTTGGCCGAGGAGGGACGTGGTGGGATGGACACAGAGGGGAGGGATGGGGATGAGTTTTTGGAGGAGCTGGAGCAGGGATCCTCACTGCTTCGTCTCTTCCCCGCAGACCGGAGAGCGGCAAGAAATCCAAAAAGGAGAAGAAGAAAAAGAAGAAGAAGAAACACAAGAAGGAGAAGAAGAAGGACAAGCACCACAAGAGGGATGCTTCCCCCTCGTCTTCCGATTCTTCTCCGGAGCGGGATGAGAGGTAGCTGGGTTGGGATGAAGGATTTATCATAGAATCATAGAATCATAGAATTGCCCAGGCCGGAAGGGACCTCCAAAGGCCATCTAGTTCCACCTCCCCGCAGTCAGCAGGGACACCCCCAACTAGACCAGGTTGCCCAGGGCCTCGTCGAGCCTCTCCTTGAATATCTCCAGGGATGGGGCCTCAACCACCTCCCTGGGCAACCTGTTCCAGTGCTCCACCACCCTCACAGTGAAGAACCCTCTCCTCATCTCCAGTCTAAATCTGTTCCCCTCCAGCTTGAAGCCATTGCCCCTCGTCCTGTCACTGCAGCCCTTTCTAAACAGGCTCTCCCCAGCCTTCCTGTAGCCCCCTCAGGTACTGGAAGGCTGCTATTAGGTCTCCCCGGAGCCTCCTCTTCTCCAGGCTGAACAACCCCAGCTCCCTCAGCCTGTCCTCGGAGCAGAGGTGCTCCATCCCCCTGATCATCCTTGTGGCCCTCCTCTGGACCCTCTCCATCAGGTCCATGTCCTTCTTCTATTGAGGGCTCCAGACCTGCACACAATCATAGAATAGAATCATAGAATCATTGAGGTTGGAAGAGACCCTTGGGATCATCGAGTCCAACCATCTCCCCTACTCTACAAAGTCCTCCCCTACACTATGTCCCTCAGCACTGCATCTAAACGTCCCTTGAACACATCCAGGGATGGTGACTCCACCACCTCCCTGGGCAGCCTGTTCCAATGCCTAATTCCAATACTCCAGGTGAGGTCTCACCAGAGCAGAGTAAAGTGGCAGAATCCCCTCTCTGGACCTGCTGGCAACGCAGCTTTTGATGCAGCCCAGGATGGGATTGGCCTTCTGGGCTGCAGCTGCCCACTGCCTGCTCATGTCCAGCTTCTCATCCACCAGCACCCCCAAGTCCCTTTCCTCAGGGCTGCTTTAGGAGAGCCGCAAGGTTGTTAGCTGGCATCAGGATGCTCTGTGGGCATCTCCTGGCTTTCCAAAATCAATTTTTCATCCCTAAAATCGCTTTGTTGGTGTCCCAGATGTCCCTGAGCTTGCTTTTCTCCTCCGTCCCCTGCAGGCACCACCGAAGGAAAGCCCAGCAGCGTCCCGGCGAGCGGCGGCGGCGGCGCCACGACACGGGTTCCTCTGCCAGCAGCCGGGATTGGGGCCGGAGCCCCTCGCCCCGTCCTGCCCCGCGGAGGAGCCGGAGCCGCGACGGCCGCGGTCGCCACCCGTCCCCGCGCCGCAGGGGGAGGAAGAGGAGCAGGAGCCCATCCCCTCCGTCCCGCGGGGCCCGGCAACGCCACGACACCGATTCCGAGGACTGAGAGGGAACCTACAGAGCTTTGGGTTGGTTGGTTGGTTTTTTCCCCAGAGAGATCTCACGCATTCTATCTATTTTTTTAAGGTTATTAAATTAAAAACGCCGCAGTTTTGTGGTTGCCGGGGTTGAGCCCAGCCAAGGGCACTTGGTTTTGCGGTGCCAGCTGCCCCTCCCCTGCCCGCAGCTCCTGCTCTTCAAGCTGGGGTGGCACCACCAGTTCCCACCAGAGGTGGGTCCCATCCGTGGAGGCATCTGGGCACCCTTCTCCCTTCCTGGATCCATCCATCCCGGTGGGATTTAGCTGGGAGGATGGTGTGAGGTGGGTGTTGGTGCTGGGACGGGCCCGGCTGCGATGCTGGAAATGCTGCAGATGCCTCGGGTTTATGTAAAGAGTTGGTGGATGCAGTTATGATGATGATGATGATGATGAGTTTTTTTAAGTGTCTTCTTTCGGTGCCCTCGAGCAGCTGCCAGCGAAGCAGCTGGAGGGGACCTTCTTTCCTCAAACCCTCCCTGGAGTCCGTCAGCTACAAAATAAAACCGGGGGTTTGTGCGCTGCCGGGAGGGTTTTGTATCTTGGAGCTGATGGTTTTCTGATGGTGGGGCTGTGGGGCTCTCCATGGGGTGGTGGTTGCTCTCCGTGGGGGCAAGGGTGCTCTTCATGGGGTGGTGGGTGCTCTCCATGGGCTGTAGGTACTCTTCAAGGGGCCATGGGTGCTCTCCATGGGGTGGTGGGTGCTCTTCATGGGGTGATGGTTGCTCTCCGTGGGGGCAAGGGTGCTCTTCATGGGGTGGTGGGTGCTCTCCATGGGCTGTAGGTACTCTCCAAGGGGCCATGGGTGCTCTTCATGGGGTGGTGGTTGCTCTCCGTGGGGGCAAGGGTGCTCTTCATGGGGTGATGGGTGATCGCCATGGGGCCACGTGTGCTGTCTATGGAGCAGTGGTGCTCTCCATGGGCTGTAGGTACTCTCCAAGGGGCCATGGATGCTCTCCATGGGGTGGTGGGTGCTCTCCATGGGGTCATAGGTGGTCCCCGAGAGGCTGCATGTCCTCTTTGTGGAGTAGTAGTGCCCTCCATGGGCTCTAGGTGTTCTCCATGGGGTGATGGTTGCTCTCCATGGGACAAGGGGGCTCTTCATAAGGTGATGGGTGGTCCCCATGGGGCCACGCGTGTTCTCCATGGAGAAGTGGTGTCCTCCAAGGGCCATGGCTGCTTTCCATGGGGTGATAGATCCTCCCTGTGGGGCCACACATGTTCTCCATGGAGAAGTGGTGTCCTCCAAGGGCCATGGCTGCTTTCCGTGGGGTGATAGATCCTCCCCATGGGGCCACACATGCTCTCCGTGTAGCAGGGGTGCTCTCCATGGGGGCCACAAGATCACCGTGGAGAAGCAGTGCCCTCCATGGGATGGGTGCTCTCCATCAGGTGATGGGTGCTCTCTGTGGAGCAACAGGTCCTCCCCATGGGGCCACATATGATCACCATGGAGCAGTGGTGCCCTCTTTGGGCCATGGGTGCTCTCCAGAGGTTGACATGTCTTCTCCATGGGGTGGCAGGTGCTCCCCATGGGTCATCAGGGATGACTGCAGGGATGTCCATGCCATGGGGTGTCCCCCTGCGTCCCCTCTGTGGTGATGGAGCTCATCTCCCAAGGTTGAGTCCTTTTCCAGCCCAAGTTTGAGGAAAATCCGGGACTTTGTGGGTGAAGCAGCTGCAGGTGACGGTGATGGATGTTCCTTTTGGTTAAGAAACAGCATTTTTGGGTTAAAAAAACCAGGAAATCGGCCAAATTAAGGGCTGCAAGGAGAACCTCTAAAATAATTCCTCGCCGAGGAGAAGATGGATGGAGCTGGGGGTGTCTCCTCGCTCATGTCCACCCTGAGCTCCGTTCCCATTTTTAAGCCTCCAAAACTGGAGCGTTGGAGGCGTTTGGCGCGTGGAGAAAAGGGCAATTTTTTTTACTTCGATAAATAGAAATATTGACCCAGGGGCTGGAGAGGGACGGCCCCGAGCGGCTCCGCCGAGGACAAGGACCTCGTTTGTGTCATTAATGATGCAATTTCTCCCGCTTAAGATGGGGGGGGGGGTTGTGTTTCTTGGCAGACAAAAGCCCCGTGTCCCCCCCCCCTCTGGTTTTGGGTGGTTTTTTTGCTCTTTGGCAGCATCCGAGGGGTCTGGTGTCATCTCGGTGGCCGTGCCATGGCCCTGCCCCGGGGAAGGGGGGAGGATGAGGAGGGTGGGACCCGTGTCAAACAAGGACATTATTTATTGGGGGGGGACACACACACATGGTGGGATCAGGGCCACGAGCTGAAATAAAGCCCTTCTGTCCTGCTCCCCTCACCCCCCAGCACGTGTTTAACCCCCCCTCTCTGCTCTAGGACATCATTTTTTAGGGGTGGTGACAACATCTTGGTAGGTTCATGGGGTGGTTCTTCTTGGTCAGCCCCAGATCCAGCCCAGGAACCCACCCCACAAAGTGAGGTGGCCCCAACACCCCATTCCCTGGGGGGTTCTAAGCCTCTCAGCACTCAAACTCTCCACAGCTCCTCAGGACCATGATCATGAGGGACCTGGAGCATCTCTTTTAGGAGGAAAGGCTGAGGGACTTGGGGTTTTTTGGTCTGGAGTCTTCTCCAGAGGTGGGATCTGATCAACACCTCTAAACACTTCAAGGGTGGGGTCAGGAGGACAGGGCTGGTCTTTTTTCAGTGGTGCCCAGGGACAGCACAAGAGGAAACGGGCACAAACTTGACTCCACCAGAAGCCAACAGGACCCAAGAGCTGCTGTCCCACCCCTTCCCCCACAGGAACCCAAGGAAAGACACAGAATTTAGAAAATAAGGAAAATATCCTGAAATTTTCATTCATGGGTTTCCACGGATCCAGCCCCCGGTGCTGGACAAAGAGGATACAAACCAAGGTGATACCAGTGCAAGTTTCATGAAACTTTTTATTCAACAAGTATTTCATTATGATTCTGCCAAGATGATCAAATGAACAGCAAGGCATAAAAAACATGAAATAGTTAAGAGATTTTTTTTTTTTATTCTAATAGCTTTAATTACAGTGCTTGTTTGTCGAAATGAAAACTGAAAACAAGTATACAAAACAGTTGATTACTAATCGTGTATTGAAAGCAATAAAGGTTTCCACAACACTAAATAAACCAGTTCTGATAGTTCCTCGAGTTAAAGTTTAACAGCTCCAGCTTCTTCAGTGTTTATCAAAATACAAAAGAAAAGTAAAGAGGTCTTTTTTTTTTTCTTTTTTTTTGTTTTGTTGTTTTCTGATGGCAAATCTGAACCTTGCAGTATGAGGGATGCCAAGGGTTTTCACACATATACAGATATGGGATTGTTCCAAAATGGGATTGAGTATTTCTAGAGTGGAATGACTCTCCAAACTCTCATGCTTTTTTTTAATTTTATTGTTTTTTTCATTTTTCCTAGACGCTATACATAGATGTTTGGTGTTTTTTCATGGCAATTCTTAACGTTAAGTACAAGTACTTTCTGCCTATAGAGCTTAGGACTAGTACAGGCTGTGCTTTCTGTGGAAAGGTTTGCCTTCTTGGAGTGGTTTTTACACACAAGAAAAGTACAAAACACTTTTTTTTTTTGACAAATACGACAGGCTAAAAATATGTTGACTTCTGGAAATGATATTCGAGTTCAACGGAAACGATAAATCTCACCTGAACCAAAAGTCAGATGTTTAGCATGAGGCTGCAAACTCATCTAAACCAGGTCCGACAAATCTATGAACAAATACGAGCACATATTAATGAGCTACAGAAAGAGCCACAGATGTATTAATTATGATCTGGTCTTTAAGCGGGTGATGCTAATTGGGTGTCGATCAGCTCTTCACCCTTTCAAAAGAAATCCAAAAAAAACCAACAAAGTCACCACGTTCCGAGCCAGAAGAGCGGAAGCTCCGTCAAATGGTTTGGATCTTGGAAGTGTTTTTACTTTTCCTTGACTTATTTAAAAAAATACAGAATTCAGGTTTAAAAACCAACCACCAAAGTGGATCTCACAGATCTCACAACCCAGCCGAGATAGTGTTCAGCTCTAACCCACCACAAGGACCACTGGCAACCCTTATGGTAACCCCACTTCAATCCCTTCCCAGTACTAAACAAGTGAGTTTGATTCTTTACAATAAAAAAAGCTGAGTAATATTGCATAGGAGTACCAGAAACTGCCTCAATTGGAAACAAAAACTATTTACATTAAATAAGAAACCTAACTGTTTTCAGGCTTGTAATTTGCCACATTTACAGCATGATGCAATATATACTGTGACAAAAAAAAAGAAAATGAAAACAGCTTCCGGCACTCAATACCACAAAGTAGCACAGTTTGCCACATTAGAGTAAAGCGAAGGGCGAATAAGGAGGAAATAAGAGGGAGGGGTGGAAAAAAAGAGGGAAGAAGGAAAAGGTTTATGGTTTCATTTCTGGTTTCGGAGCTGATTGGACAACCAGTCCAGTCCTTCATAGAGACCGTCTCCGCTAGTGGCACAGGTCGCCTGGATGTACCAGTTCCTGTGACGAAGGGAATGCAGTCCCAGTTTGTCTGTGATTTCTGCTGCATTCATGGCGTTGGGCAGGTCCTGGGGGAAGGAAGAAAAGTTATTTTCTCCCCTACGCGCTGAGAAGAAACACCCACCTCCCTAAACCATCTTCCATCAGCAGCTTTATGGCCACTAAAAGAAAGTTAAGAGGCTCTTCCAGTTCCTCTTTCAGGAAAACTCAGTGGATCACTTCTATATTCACAGAATCACAGAATCTTCTAGGTTGGAAGGGACCTTAAAGATCATCTTGTCCAACCATCAACCTAATTTTGACAAAAATAGACACCCCCACAACAAACAAGGAGCATCATCACTAAACCATCCCTCCCAGCACTACATCAACCCGGCTTTTGAACACCTCCAGGGATGGGGCCTCAACCCCCTCCCTGGGCAGCCCGTTCCAATGGCTGAGAACCATTTCTGTGAAAAAATTGTTCCTAATATCCAGCCTGAACCTCCCCTGGGGCAACTTGAGGCCATTTCCTCTCGTCCTGTCGCCTGTGACTTGGGAGAAGAGACCGACCCCCACCTCTCTACACCCTCCTTTCAGGGAGTTGGAGAGAGCAATAAGGTCCCCCCTCAGCCTGCTTTTCTCCAGGCTGAATAACCCCAGCTCCCATTTTCCCCCTACTGATAAAAAAAAAAAAAATCTCAAAGGTTTGACACCACAATCAAAAGCACTGCTGGCAGAATTCTTTCTGGAGAGAAATATTCCATATTTCCCTTCAGCAAACAGAAGCAAGACAGCTGAGGTTTGGATGGAGTCAGCAAGCCCCTCAGTGCTGACCCAAAACCCCTCACGGTTCGAGGTCTGTTTCATTCACTTTCCACTCAGGAAATGTTTTCTGGGACTGATGATTTAAGATCAACTTTTATCAGGGAGCAGTACTCCCCTCAGAGCTGCTGCTGTTTACAGGCCACCTTTCCTGCTCCCAGACAAGACTTATGGCTCCTTTGCCCTTCCCAGCTGAGCCTGTGCAGTGATGAAGCAGGATGCTATTCCTTCTCCAAGTTTACTAGCCGTATTTAAAACCCTTGACATTTGGGTTTAAGCTCCCAAAGCCTTTACAAGCAACAGAAGGCTGAAGTCTCAGCTACCTTTGTGGCCCAGAAGAGTACAGGGCAACAAAAGTACATTAAAAATCAGGCCAGTGCTTCCACCACCACCAGCAATGCCCTCAAAACACTCTAAATGAAGAATTCCAGGAGGTTCTGGCATTCTGGCCTCCCTCTCTGTTTGAGGGAACCTTGGGCAGGGGCTGTACTTGAGCCAAGCCAACCTTTTATTTTAAACTGGCAGAATTCTTCCCTAAACCTGAAAATACAAGCATTTCTACAACCAAGCCTGTTTAGAGGAACACCCCTTCCACATGAGAACAGGGTAACTTAATCTATGGGGTTGCTGTCCTCAATAAAACTGCATTTTTCCCAAAACTGAATGTCCAAAAACGGGACACTTCCTGAGATCTTACTGATTATTACACTGAAAAGATGAACATCAGGCTCAAGATCTAGCACTCTCAAGTACATTGTGCATTTTGAAGAATTCTTACAGAAAGACCCCTTTCTCAGTCATACCTGTTTGTTAGCAAACACTAATAAAACAGCATCTCTAAGCTCATCTTCCGCCAACATTCTCATCAGCTCTTCTCTGGCCTCGTTCACTCGTTCTCTGTCATTACTGTCAACCACAAAAATCAGACCTAGAAATAAGCAAACGATTGGAATAAGCACACACCACAAGTTATTCCCTAACGAGACCTACTTCTGGAGGTCAGAACTAAACTTTGAAGAGAAAAATAATATAAACCAATTCAGTATATATAAGAAAAAGACAGTTTTGTTATTACTCTAGTCTCATGTCTGAGAGAAAGTCTGCTCTTGCTGAAAGCTGGTGTTAGTTTGCATTTGTGTTTTTGGCACTCGCGCGCTTCAGCTCCATCTCGATATTTTCCAAGGAGTAGCAACTCTTGAAATCCTGTGACAGGACTCAAAAGCATGCCCATTATAAAGGCACAGCAGGGAAAGAAGTGACAAACTCAGTTCAGGAGGCTGTTAGAGCTTGTAGTAGAAGACTCTGCTTTGAAGTGAGGCAGAGAGCTGTGACACTGACAGAAGAAAAGCAGAATTCCGGACTCGCCCCTGAGTCAGACAGACAAGGAAGACTGGTTTCTACATTTCTCCCCATCCCTCTTTGAACCTGCACTAGCTTAACAGAAGAGCCACACACAAACACACCCTTTTAGAATAATAAACATTCTCCCCCACCCCGTATGACTATCGTAGTAAGGACATTAAAAACCCCAACTTTTTAAGATTCTGGAATCTCTAAATTTGAAGCGTTTGGACTCACCTTGTGTGTTCTGGAAATAATGGCGCCAGAGTGGTCTGATCTTATCCTGGCCACCTACATCCCAGACTGTAAAGCTAATGTTCTTGTATTCTACTGTTTCCACATTGAAACCTAAAATAGAAATGGTGACAAAAATCTCAGTTAAACAAAAGTTGGCCCCGGTCCTACTCTATTTACCAAATCGCACTCGGAATTTCACCACTAGAAACATCACTGTAAAATTTACATCTACTTTAAAGAAGCAGAATCTTGCACTGAAACCTTTAGGAAGTTGTCTAGAATTCTATAAAATTCTATAAAACCTTTAGAAAAACATGGGTTCTCTCAACCCACCCTCCCACCCTCACCCCAAACTAATGAACGACTCTAATTGCTACCTGAACCACTAGAAAAATGCAGAGCAAACTATGTCACATCAGAAAAACCCCCTGGGCTTTAAGGACTGTAAATCAGGGACAGCTCTGATCACACAGTTCTCACAGTCACCCTCCAAAAAACATGGAGTCACCCTGAATTTCTCAATCTAATCTCCTTGATGCCACAATATGCTCAGGAGAGCAGCCTGCCCTTCTGTGCCCTGTGAAGGGCTGTTCCACAAATGACTGAAAAGAGGGAATGGAGTGAAAAATGTTCTTGTATTCTACTGTTTCCACATTGAAACCTAAAATAGAAATGGTGACAAAAATCTCAGTTAAACAAAAGTTGGCCCCGGTCCTACTCTATTTACCAAATCGCACTCGGAATTTCACCACTAGAAACATCACTGTAAAATTTACATCTACTTTAAAGAAGCAGAATCTTGCACTGAAACCTTTAGGAAGTTGTCTAGAATTCTATAAAATTCTATAAAACCTTTAGAAAAACATGGGTTCTCTCAACCCACCCTCCCACCCTCACCCCAAACTAATGAACGGCTCTAATTGCTACCTGAACCACTACAAAATGCAGAAAAAACTATGTCAATCAGAAAAACCCCTGGGCTTTAAGGACTGCAAATCAGGGACATCTCTGATCACACAGTTGTCACAGTCACCCTCCAAAAAACATGGAGTCACCCTGAATTTCTCAATCTAATCTCCTTGATGCCACAATATGCTCAGGAGAGCAGCCTGCCCTTCTGTGCCCTGTGAAGGGCTGTTCCACAAATGACTGAAAAGAGGGAATGGAGTGAAAAAACAATGTCATGTAATCTCCTCCCAAGCAGGAAAATTCATACCATGGTTTAGCAAGTGTTTGTTCTGACGCAGCGCTAAGTCACTTAAATCAACAGAGCTGCAGCTGAAATAAGATCCTACTGCAAACAATAAAACTCAAATCTCAAAGCAAGCAGTTATAGAAATGTAAAAAAAAAATAATAATCTTACCTATAGTAGGAATAGTAGTTACTATTTCGCCAAGTTTAAGTTTGTACAAAATAGTAGTCTTTCCTGCAGCGTCCAGACCAACCATTAGAATACGCATTTCTTTTTTGCCAAAAAGGCCTTTGAAGAGGTTAGCGAAGATATTTCCCATGTTTGAGATATGTTCTCACTGGCCAGTGAAGTCTAAAGGAAAAAAAAAAAAGATGACAGTATCACTCTGGAGTTCCCAATGGCTGGGTTCTGACCAGGGCATAATCAACCACCAAACATTTCTTTTTTGCCAAAAAGGCCTTTGAAGAGGTTAGCGAAGATATTTCCCATGTTTGAGATATGTTCTCACTGGCCAGTGAAGTCTAAAGGAAAAAAAAAAAGATGACAATATCACTCAGGAGTTCCCAATGGCTCCACCAAAAACCCAAAGTATCAGATAATATGAATTCTTTAGATACCCCCAACCACCACCATATATTATTTTTTCCCCAATAATGAAGCAAAGATGAAGAGATAATGCCAAAACTTACTCCTTATAAAAATACAGGGCTCCAAGTGCTTTAAATCTTTCCAATATGGAAAGATTTCCCCTGCTTCAGCAGGGGAGTTGGACTAGATGATCTCTATGGTCCCTTCCAACTCTAAAATTCAGTGAAAGTCAGTGAAATATTCTTTCAGAGATTTTAGTATTAAATGCTGTTTTCAACCTTTTGTTTCCCAAATTCATGGTTTGCTTTCAAGGCAACTGACCACATCAGGTACTTTGCCCCCATATTGTAATGGAATAATTTATCTGCAGCCTAAAGTGTCACCACAAAACACAATTTTCCTAATTGACCTGCAGATGAAAAAAATGTTTAAAATGTGTGCTCATCAGTGCATCAATAGCTGGTCCTTCTTGTGCAAAGGAAATTCGGAATACAGCTTGGATTCTCCCTTACTCAAAACAGTTTCCTTCCTCTCAACCCCTGAGGAAATGGCCTGTGACACAACGTAAATCCCAAGCAGCGTTACCTCCATCAACATCGGAGGGAAACCTTCTCTAGGAAGCAAATCCATGTTTACTGAAACTTAACTGCTGAAAATTAATAGCCACATTAAAAGAGGTGGGTTTAGAAATGAATGCTTCTTCCTCTACTGTGAACACTTCTGCTTGGACGCTCAGAATTGATTAAAAACATCATCAGAAGCTTCCTGTTTAGGAACTGGAGAAACTGCCTCTCCGTTCCAGCCCTCGGGACGGGATCCACCCCACCACAACTCGTCCACTTCTTCCACAAATTTCCCTCCTTTTCCAAACTCACTACGACACAGTTTACAACGAGTTTGAAATCACCAAGAGAACTATTATTCTGCTCACATAAAGCATGAAAAAAGCAGCCTGAGAGTTTTATAGTGGGGTGTAGATGAGGATGTTCCATGGCGACAGCGCCGGCTCACACCTCGACTGCTGCTTCGTCTAGAAGCTCTCAGATGTCAGTTTGAAAAGAAGAAACAAAACCCAAGTGAAAATAACAATTTTTAAGACAGTAGGAGCACGCACAGCCCAGACGTGTAACATTCAGAGGATGGGTTTCCTGTAAACCAAGTCACACGATGTAAAGAGCAATATGAAGTATGAATCATCTCTTGAAGATATTCTGTATTTCCTAAGAAAGCTGTGTGCTTCAAGCAGAATTCTCACTGGAAGCAGACTTTCCAGAATATTAAAACAAGCTTTGAACTGAAAAAGCACACCAAAAAAATAAATCTCTTGTCCCAGTGTTGTTTAGCTCTATGCCAGGGATGTATGAAGTCTGGCTGCCTCACTCAGCGCTGGTAAAGGTCTAAGAAGTTCTGCCCTCCTCAGGAAGCTTTGCTGGATACCACTTTTAACCCAAAAGTTAAGAGCTGGAACATTAACTAAATCACATGCCACACAAGCAGCTCCACAGTGAAGTTCAGAGTCCACTCCAGAGTTCCTGAAATGACATCAGTCACCACCTCAACTTGCTGAAGTAACACGAGTCAAAGAGTCACTGATTTCATACGGTCGAAGCTCAACGTGATCGAAACTCTAAAGCTCCAAGCCAGACAGGGCAGCTCAGGGATTAAAACCAAACAAAGTTTAAAAGTTCTATTATTCCACCATTTCCTTCATATTTCTGAAGCCCAACCGTGAATATTCAACTCCCACTTGAATATACGAAAGCTGTATAAACAGGAAAGTTAATTAGGAAGTAGATGAAACAGTTTTGCTAGAGTCCTTGTTTACCCAAATAACACACACAGCAGGATATCTCACTCCCCAGCCCACACCAGTAGCTCTTACTGGGCTGGAGGGGAGGGAAGCTGGAAAGCTTTCCTTTGTCCAGCTGCTCACACTTCCTCCATCTTCCACTTCATCCGAAATGCAACAGTCAGAGATGAACTGTGACCTTTTCCCAGAGCTCTCAGAACCCTCCAAAATGAGGGTAAGAACTTCTACAGCAAGAGAACCTCAGGAACCCTCCAAAAGAATACGTTTCTTTTGTTTCTGCACGTTTGAAAGCATAACTGGTTATTAAATGCTTGGATCAACGGCCATAATCGGGCAAGACAACAACATTTTAGCATTTACATCCATGACAACTTTCCATACCCTGGAGAAGCCACAGTTTGCTGCCCAAATTGCTCACACTTGGCACTAACAGCAGTGGATCCCATCAGATCCGTGCTGTCCTGCCCTCCATCACCGAAGCTGCTTTCATACCATCCATTCTCCCTATTCTTCCTTTTTTTTTTTGGTGAAAGTAAGAAGTTAGGATACATTTAAACACTCGGCTTCCAATTCCTTCTTGTTCTCTTCCTACCACCCAAATTGCTTCTCTATCTTATTTGATGCTTGAGGGTAGGTGACACTGCAGAAAATAGGATTTATTTTTACAGGCAGTGAGTGCAGTTTACAGCCCACAGCTTCAAGAGAAGCGTGTTCAGATGTTGACTAGAAATCAGCGGTGTCATTGCTGGCTAGAAGAAAAATACCAGGAGGGACCCATCTGCAGAACCCCCTCAAAGTATTGCAGGTCCCTCCAGTGACTTGTTGGGTGCTTCTGGAGGAAAAGAGATGGCCACTGCCTTCCTCATGGGTGGCACCATCCTCTGACCAGCAGCTAGAATCACTTCTGTTTCAACAGAAAAGGCAATTTTAGTCCCGCAGTTTCATACCCTACAGTGTCATTGCTGGCTAGAAGAAAAATACCAGGAGGGACCCATCTGCAGAACCCCCTCAAAGTATTGCAGGTCCCTCCAGTGACTTGTTGGGTGCTTCTGGAGGAAAAGAGATGGCCACTTTTTTTTTTTGGTGAAAGTAAGAAGTTAGGATACATTTAAACACTTGGCTTCCAATTCCTTCTTGTTCTCTTCCTACCACCCAAATTGCTTCTCTATCTTATTTGATGCTTGAGGGTAGGTGACACTGCAGAAAATAGGATTTATTTTTACAGGCAGTGAGTGCAGTTTACAGCCCACAGCTTCAAGAGAAGCGTGTTCAGATGTTGACTAGAAATCAGCGGTGTCATTGCTGGCTAGAAGAAAAATACCAGGAGGGACCCTCCAGTGACTTGTTGGATGCTGCTGGAGGAAAAAGAGATGGCCTCTGCCTTCCTCATGGGTGGCACCATCCTCTGACCAGCAGCTGGAATCACGTTCATGGCCACTGCCTTCCTCATGGGTGGCACCATCCTCTGACCAGCAGCTAGAATCACTTCTGTTTCAACAGAAAAGGCAATTTTAGTCCCACAGTTTTATATACTACACTCCTCTCCCTGCCACTATTTCATTACTTTCTATTATTTAAGCATTATCTCAAGTTCCTTCCCCTGTATCAATAAAGTCCTCAACTTCACCATCATCACAGCTGTGATGAGCCAGCAGGTCTCTGCTCTGTGACCATTCTTGCTGGTAGAAGACACCAAGGCAGCAGAAAGTGCTGGGATGGTTTGGAGCTGCTTCCCAGGACTTCCCTGCCACCCATTAATGCAACTCAGCTGAGGGATCACGCGATTACTTCCAGGGTACTTCTGGGCAGAATCTGCTTTAATTCTCATTGCAGTCTCCTAGTTGGACCACGAGAACTGACATACATAGTCTGAAAATATGAAGAAATTTAAGAACCTTTTAGGTTAACCAGGGCACCTTCAACATTTGCAATCTCTATCCAGACTTGCCAATATATTGCCTATATTCTCTACTGAAGCTCAACCTTCTCTTTTCCTTAACCCCAGTGTTGTCAGTAACTGCTACACTGATAATTTTACAAGCACAAGTTCAATAAAACATAAAAGACTGTGCTTGTACTACTTCATGGCATCTTCAAAAGAGGTATCTATCAGGCTAAGTAGGGAGATTTGTGTATGAAAGGGAATCATTTGAATAAAAACGGCAGGAACTATTTTTTGCAGAGCGTAGGGCGCTTCAAGCTTCCAGAAATGGCATCTCACCACCTCTCACCAAACCCCCATCGCCCCCAAAAACTCTATGATTCTTATTTCTCCCTGCCCCATCCAAGCCCTGAAGCACACCTTAACGTGGCCTCCTCCACCTCAGGATCCTCACACCAGTAAAAACCTGTTGGGCTGGTTCAGGTAAGATATAATGGGCCTTGGGTAAACAGGGAGAAAGACGCTCACTGGCTGAGACTGCAGTTTTGTTTCAGGAAACAAGGTATTTTCAGCTGCTGGTTTTCTAGTAAGTGATACATTTAGATAAGCAATTAGAAGAACAGGCAGCCTTTTTTTTTCTTCCCCCTTTCAGAAAGGCTCAGTGTAATGAGTTAAAAATGAATGAGTGTCTGCAATTGCTGGCAGCCTGGTGGCTGTTAAAGCAATACGGCCCCTGAGTAAGAACTAGAATTTGCCTTTATTAATTGTAGGTGGTTAGAAGAAAAGCTCTGAGGAGTATCTCAAGGCCAAAGATCATTCAACACTTAATCTTCTGCAGCATTTTAGATTTAACTGTACGTTAATGCATTTTAATGTAATTTCATTCAGGCTGCTTACCCCCAGAAGTCAAATACACTTCTTGACCTCTGAACTTCTCGGATGAGCTGTGAGTTAACAGCCATCCCACACAAGCACAGCCAGAAGGGTATATATTATGTTAAAGAAAGTATAGCTACATCTTTACCTCTCTGCATAACCTTAGTTTTTCACTTCTGGAAAGGTTCTTTTTGAGCACATAGAAATTAAACTTCACCGAACCAGGAGTTGTGGCAAATGCCACGGTTTCATGACAAAAATCAGAGGCTAAAACAGAGGATGCCATATGTGTTATTTAGCCAAATCATGTCTACAGTATAGAAATACATTTATTTCACTTCTACGAACCAGCACTTACCACATAA